TTACTCGCCTCACATGCCGCGACTTCACTTCGTCCAAGATAGGTATATCAATGAAGAAAATAATCAATTAATTAAAGCCAATTATTTAAGATATATTAAGGAGAAAAATCAGTAATTAATAAAAGCCACTAATTTAAGATTATTAATGAGAAAGATTATTCGCGGATCTTCTCTGGCTTCTTATAGGAAGTCTTGGAACTCGATTAGCAGTACGAGTGGGGAAAGGTTTTGTGAGCATTTAAAACAATTAATTATAACCAAATAATTACGATATAAATACTTAAATAAGTACCATTTGTTGATCAATTATCCATCGCCAATTTCACCTATCGCGGCCATGCAAGGTCTAGAATCTAGATCGTAACACCCGCGATCGGTAAGGGATTACTGTAGAGCGATAGATTAGCGTTATAGCAGCGCTTCCTGTTCAGCGTTAGTGCAACGCTATATAGACGCTATAAACGAGCTCCACATGTTCTAACGCCACCAGCAACGCAACGTGAGCGTTGTGCTGCGAGCGTTGAACGATCATGTCTACCGCAGCCATTGTCTGGGCATATCCTGCTTATCTTTGTCTTCAAACATCATTTAATACGAAACTTTCTACAACAATAACATCATCTATTGTAGAAGTGCCAGCTATTGCATCGTCCACAATAACAGGGACATCCACGGATGATATACCAGCTGAGACCATCATCCACATCAATAACAACGGTACCATTTACAACAGCAGCTTATCAATAACTACGATATCAGCAACAATACCTCATTCTACCTCACTACCACCACCACCACCAACTCACCCTGCCTCACCACCACCTACTTACCCTGCCTCACCACCATCACCACCCCACCATTAGTAGTTCATCAATGGGCAGCGAACTCGTGCAACTTCCTCTCAACCTCTTCCAAGTCCATCGCCTGCTTAATCATATTTGGCTGTTTTCACAGTCAAAAATTCAGTGCTAAATGCAGGGAGATTACCTAAAATTTGCTGTCGTAATATCGTTATGCGAGTTCGGTATAAGATGTGTCGGCCCCTGCGCTGGTGGCAAGATCGTTACCATCGTTACCTTCTTTTTTTAATTATCGTTAGCCTCGATTTTCATCATCGTTATACGTTACGTTTCATCATCGTTACCCTTGATTTTCATCATCGTTACCCTCGATTTTCATCATCGTTACCCTCGATCTTCACCTTCGTTAGGTATTCGCACCCTTGTAATTCCTATTGGACCCTGTTGGATACTTAGTACATGTGGGAATAATATATGGCCCTATGAAGTTTATTTTCGATTGATTTTTAGGTGATCACTCTAATTGTTTAGTAATATAGTTACGATTACATCACTACTGAAATTGTCTTGCCTATTCTTACTATTCGACGGCGCCTTTCTTCTTTGCCTGAAGTTCTGCAATTCTTATTGGTATTATTATTTTATCAAAATATTTAAGGATTAGTTAGTAATAGGTATTTATACGCTTGTTTATGTTACAGGGCATGGAGGGCGGCGGCTCACAGAAGGTATGGGTCACAGACCCCGTCCATGGGTTCATCTTGGGGTCCATCGTGGACCTGAACCCCGAGGGGGTTACCGTTGAGCCCGTGACGAAGCAGCGTAACGCTAAACCCCTCACCGTGCCCTATGACCGTGTCTACCCTGCCGAGGATGACGATAACAAGGATGTTGATGATAACTGTGAGTAACATGAGAACTGTGAGTAACATGATAACTGAGTGACATGATAACTGTGAGTAACATGATAACTGTGAGTAACGTGATAACTGAGTAACGTGATAACTGTGAGTAACATAACTGTGACATGATAACTGTGAGTAACATGATAACTGAGTAACGTGATAACTGTGAGTAACATGATAACTGTGAGTAACATGATAACTGTGAGTAACATGATAACTGTGAGTAACATGATAACTGTGAGTAACATGATAACTGTGAGTAACATGATAACTGTGAGTAACATGATAACTGTGAGTAACATGATAACTGTGAGTAACATGATAACTGTGAGTAACATGATAACTGTGAGTAACATGATAACTGTGAGTAACATGATAACTGTGAGTAACATGATAACTGTGAGTAACATGATAACTGTGAGTAACATGATAACTGTGAGTAACATGATAACTGTGAGTAACATGATAACTGTGAGTAACATGATAACTGTGAGTAACATGATAACTGTGAGTAACATGATAACTGTGAGTAACATGATAACTGTGAGTAACATGATAACTGTGAGTAACATGATAACTGTGAGTAACATGATAACTGTGAGTAACATGATAACTGTGAGTAACATGATAACTGTGAGTAACATGATAACTGTGAGTAACATGATAACTGTGAGTAACATGATAACTGTGAGTAACATGATAACTGTGAGTAACATGATAACTGTGAGTAACATGATAACTGTGAGTAACATGATAACTGTGAGTAACATGATAACTGTGAGTAACATGATAACTGTGAGTAACATGATAACTGTGAGTAACATGATAACTGTGAGTAACATGATAACTGTGAGTAACATGATAACTGTGAGTAACATGATTACTGTGAGTAACGATACGGTAACGGTACGTGACGACACGGTAACTTTATGTAACGTATAGTAGTACAGTAATCGCGTCGGCATTATTGTACTTGATTCAGTAATCGGCGTGGGCATTACAGTTGTACAGTGTACACTCATGCCTCGAAGTACAGCGCTTCTGCTTATCGTATTAATATTATATTAATAAGCTTCTGCTTACTAATATCAAAGCTTGTAATCATTGCCACTTGCTTAAATCTAATTACTTCCACGTTGCTGGTGATATATGTTTTGTATGAATCCACAGTTTTAGAAATCTTATTATTAAACCTATTTTTTTGTTCTCTGAATGATTCATCGTGAAATGCATGTCGATATTCTACGATATGCTTGGTGATGCAATCGCCAACGATTGGTATCATTTCAAAGCAACCTAAACAAAAAACAAAATACGATGCAATGGATTTAATATATCATTAGTATATAATATCATTTGTATATCATTATGATGTTGATGACGATGTTATGCAGGCGCGCTGATGTACCTCAACGAGGCCACATTACTACATAACATCAGGCTGCGCTACAACAAGGATAAGATCTACGTGAGTCCTGGCTTAAGTTACATTTGATTAGAATAATTTGTCTTATTAAGATTAGGTAATTAGAATAATTTGATCATTTGTTTGTACTTAAGATACTCTCGCTAGATAATGCAGTTACACTTGTCATTTCGGTAGCTTGCATTTAGTACTTTATCTTGCAGACGTATGTGAACTATACACGTTTCATGCCGCAGGTGTAGGTGATTAAAAATGTATTAGTTTCATGCCGCAGATGTAGGTGATTAATGTATTAGTTTCATGCCGCAGATGTAGGTGATTAATGTATTAGGTGACGTAGGTGATTAATTAAATTCATTAGTTTCTCTGCAGATGTAGGTGATTAACTCATTAGTTTCATACCTCATTCGCAGGTGATTAACTCATTAGTTTCATGCAGCAGACGTACGTGATTAATTCATTACTACTTACGACGCAGACGTACGTGATTAACTCATTAGTTTCATGCCGCAGACGTATACGTGACTAACTCAAGACTGTTATACCGCAGACGTACTTTATTAATACATGACTTACGCCGCAGACGTACGTGGCGAATATCCTGATCGCGGTGAACCCATACTTCGAGGTGAAGAACCTGTACACGCTCGACACCATCCACGCCTACCAGGGCCGCTCTCTGGGGCAGATGCCGCCACACGTCTTTGCTATAGGTGGGTCATGCCATAGGTGGGTCATGTCATAGGTGGGTCATGCCATAGGTGGGTCATGTCATAGGTGGGTCATGTCATAGGTGAGTCATGCCATAGGTGAGTCATGCCAATCTACTTGCATGATTTTATTGCAGTAAAATAAGTTTACTTGTACCGTGAATCTACTTGTAACATTTGGTTACAGCTGACAAAGCTGTATTTGTACCTTATATCTACTGGTAATACTAATTTACAGCGTACAATGCTGTATTTGTACCTCATTTTTACTTGTAACATTAATTTACAGCGGACAAAGCTGTATTTGTACCTTATTTCAACTGGTAGCATTATTTCACAGCGTACAAAGCTGTATTTGTACCTCATTTCTACTGATAACATTAATTAAAGCTGTATTTGTTCCTTATATCTACTGATAAGATTAATTTTACAGCGGACAAAGCGTTCCGGGACATGAAGGTGCTGAAGGAGAGCCAGAGTATCGTGGTGTCAGGAGAGTCTGGCGCAGGCAAGACCGAGTCTACCAAGTACATCCTGCGCTATCTCTGCGAGAGCTGGGGCAGCAAGATGGGCGAACTACCGAGCTAGTTGATATTTACTTGAACCTAAAATTAATAATTTAGGAAATTGCTGTTATATTATTATTCTAAATGGAAATATGAATATATTTACTGTGTAAAAATCATATAATTTGCTGCTTCAAAGAGCGTTGTTGGTAGTGTGTGATGTACTTACCCGTGTTTCGATCCTTTTTCATTCGAATAGTCGCGTTTTTATTTATATTTAATCGATGACTCTTCAAAACACTAAAGTCTACCCGAGGTGTCTGGCTAGTGAAGTTTTGAGGCCCATATTGTTCATGGCCCACCGTGAGCTACATTCATGCACTAACCATGAAATTCATGCCGTGTTAACCGTGTTATTATGCTTGTGTGTGGCAGCTAACTTCATGCCGTGTTAACCGTGTTATTAAACGTGTGTGAGCAGCTAACCCCGTGTTGGAGGCGTTCGGCAACGCCAAGACGACACGCAACAACAACTCCTCCAGATTCGGGAAGTTCATAGAGATTCACTTCAGTGACAAGTGAGTCTTTACTTGCCGCACTTCAGTACCTAAATATATTCAAGGATTTTCTAGAAGTAGTAATTGCTCGCCTGATATAGTTGAGATTGATTTTCAAGTGAAGCATAGTTACAGTAGAACTTTGTTGTTAGTAACCATTCACTGGTTGTACCAGGCACTTGGTGTTGGAAAGTTTATCTCGCGCTACCGTGTCATAAGTATTTAATTAGGATTGGTTTATGTGCCAGATTCTATTAATAACAAATTTCCACACTCGTATAGTGGTTGCCCAGATTGGGTTGATGTCGAATCTTCGTACTCAAAAATTGGTTGCTCATATTGGGTTGATGTTGAATCTTTGTACACATACATTGGTTGCTCATATTGGGTTGATGTTGAATCTTTGTACTCGTACATTGGTTGCCCACATTGGTAAATAGCGTGCCTTCGTTGTTAACCATTGACTGGTTGTACCAGGCACCTGGTGGTAGGCGGGTTCATCTCTCACTACCTGCTGGAGAAGAGTCGTATTGTAGGGCAGTCGTCGCAGGAGCGTAACTACCACATCTTCTACCAGCTCTGCGCCGGCGCCCCTGATGAACTACGATCCAAACTCAGGCTCTCCAACCCTGACGACTTCGAGGTCAGCTCGCGTCATTTCGATTTAATTTGCACTGTCTGCATTTATATTTTCTTAGCGTCCGATGTTATTAATTACTTTGTATATTTAAATTTCTGAACCATAGACTTCTTTTAAATTGAATAATAAGAATATTGAATATATCTCAAGTAGAGAATATTTATCTAACCCATATAACCCAGTGGATTTTTATATGAAATTTATTGTGATCCCATTGCGTTATTGTGATTTGTAATCTTCATATTGCAGTACTTTTAGTCAAAGGAGATTATTTATAGACCTAGACTATCTATAAACCAAAACTATTTTAATATGAAATGTGTTTTTGAGACCAATTTCGTTTCTTGAATATTGCAGTATTTGCGTCACGGCTGCACGCAGTACTTTTATTCAAAGGAGGCTATTTACACACCAAGACTATCTATAAACCAAGACTATTTTTTGTAAATGTATTTTTGAGACCACCCCATGTCATATATATTACAGTATTTACGTCACGGCTGCACACAAAACTTCGTCTCAAAAGAAACTTTATAAAGACCAAGACTATCTATAGACCAAAAACATTTTTAATATAAAAGGTGTTTTTACGACCTATTCCATGTGTTATATATTACAGTATTTGCGTCACGGCTGCACGCAATACTTTTATTTAAAGGATGCGATTTACAGACAGCGTCTGTACAGATCTATCTATAAACCAAGACTATTTTTTGAAAAATATATTTGTGAGACCACTTCCATGTCATATATATTGCAGTATTTACGTCACGGCTGCACGCAATACTTCGTCTCAAAGGAGACCCAGAGCAAACTCTCGAACAACAGCGTGAGCCGCGCACACTCGTCCAGTGGGCCTCTGAGGGACCCCATCCTGGACGACGTGAGGAACTTCGCTGCCCTCGACAAGGCCCTTGGCAACCTCGGCCTCGGAGGACAGGAGCGGCTGTCCATCTACACCTGCGTCGCCGCCGTCCTGCATCTCGGCAACGTCCAGTTCGAGGATAATCCTGACGATGTTAAGGGTGCGTTAAAAATTCAGAAGGCGTCCTAATAGGCATTTGACGTTGAAATAACGTTGCGAGGGTGCGTTAAAGAAATAAAGAAGGCGTCATAAGCAGGCATTTGACGTTGAAATAACGTTGCAAGGGTGCGTTACAGAGATAAAGAAGGCGTCCTACCGGGCATTTGACGTTGAAATAACGTTGCAAGGGTGCGTTAAGGCATTTGACGTTGTAATAACGTTGCAAGGGTGCGTTACAGAGATAAAGAAGGCGTCCTACCAGGCATTTGACGTTGAAATAACGTTGGTTGAACTGTTTTTCAACATTATATGTCTGTGGGGGGTTTGTAATAGTTACAGTGGGGTTACTATTCAGGTTGATAGGCTTGGAGCAGGTGTGTCGATTAATTTAGAATTCAGTGCCTTGGTGTACGGCTTTCACTATATTGCACTTTGTACGGTTTCTCTCGCATACACCTTTTTCATTAACGAGTCGTCTTCCTCGCCTTCGCGATTAACAATACAAAAATTAACAAAAAGTAACTTCCAAAAATGGTAAATTAATTAAATTAACTTACCTAGAAAATTAACTTCCAAAAAAACTTCCAATTAACAAAAAATTAACCTCGCCTTCGCGATTAACAGTGCAGAAGATGAAATACTCCGCTTTTACGCCATAATATTTACCCAAATTAAATCACGAGTAACACTACAAGAGATGGAAATCTCGCATAAACCTCTTCTAATTTACCCTAATTTACGTGCAAATAACACTACAAAATATGATATGATATACTCTTTTATATTTAAAACAATTGACCCAAATGAATGTGAGTCTGTCGCCCCCAGGAGGGTGCCGAGTGTGCGGCAGCAGCAGCGAGTCGCTGCGCGTGTGCGCAGGTCTCCTGGGCGTGGACCCCAACCATCTGAACCAGGCGCTCCTGTCGCGGGTCATGCAGCCGAGCAAGGGCGGACATAAGGGCACCGTCATCATGTGAGACTTGGTGGTCATAAGGGCACCGGCATCATGTGAGACTTGGTGGTCATAAGGGCACCGTCATCATGTGAGACTTGGTGGTCATAAGGGCACCGGCATCATGAGACTTGGTGGTCATAAGGGCACCGGCATCATGAGACTTGGTGGTCATAAGGGCACCGGCATCATGAGACTTGGTGGTCATAAGGGCACCGTTGTTGTTGTTGTTGGTTGCGACCGTCACGCACGCCGGGGGGGAGGCTCTGGTGGCGGGCGGGGGGCCGGACCGTCATCATGTGAGACTTGCAGCTCTGATGACGTGGTCACATAAGCATCAGTATTAGCACATAGTACTTGTGTCAAGTACTTTTTGCTTCGAATATTGGGCTAAAAATTGTAAGAAAAAAATTAACTGTTTATTTATAATAATCAATTTTAAAAAAATTATAAAAAATTCTGGCTAAAATCTACTTGCCACTAATACCATCTGCCAATACCTGCCACTGACACCATCTGCCAATACCTGCCCCGTGTATAAGCACCTCATATCGCTCCGTTCTCAACAGGGTGCCTCTGAAAGTGCACGAAGCCAAAGGAGGGCGCGACGCTCTGGCCAAGGCAATGTACAGCAAACTCTTCGACTACATCGTGCACCGCATCAACCAGAGCATCCCTTTCTCGTCCTCTGCTTACTACATCGGAGTCCTCGACATCGCTGGTTTTGGTTAGCACATTTGTCTCTTATTATCTTTATTTTGCGATGTCTTCATTTTGTATTGTATATTACATAACCTTTATCTCATTCTAGCTTGCATGTTGATTATTATTACGTAGATATTGATACTGTCTGTCTGTGATCTGTGTTTTATCTAGACAAAATATTTCTTTAATGCAGAACATTCATTAAAGAAGAACTTAGGAGTAACTTTGGAAGAAATTTTCAGTCGCAAATCCATGTAGAAATAATGATATGAGGTTTGCACTGTCTATAAGTCTAAGTTGAAATTAATGAGAGTTACTGATAATTTGAACGTACCAAGAGTTATCTACTGATAAGTTGAAGGTACCAAGAGTTACCTGCCAATAAGCTGGAGTTACCAATAGTTGCCGATAATTTGAAGTTACCAAGAGTTACCCGTGTGCAGAATACTTCCCGGTGAACAGCTTCGAGCAGTTCTGCATCAACTACTGCAATGAGAAGCTGCAGCAGTTCTTCAATGAGCGAATACTGAAGGAGGAGCAGCAGATATACGAGAAAGAAGGCCTTGGTGTTAAGAAGATCTCCTATGTCGATAATCAAGATTGCATTGGTAAGAAAAAAATCCATTTTGAGATTTTTTTCTTTGCTGTTAATTAATTTTATTTTAGGGAAAATATTGGGAATGGGGGAATATTTGAGAAAAAAATATTGCTAATTCATTTTTGAGATAACAAATTTTGCGTATTAGTGCAAGTTTTATCAGTTTGCCTGTAGCGGTTTCCACAAAACAGATAAATGTTTTAATTGGAAGATTTATTTCACCTAATTTTACTGAATCTCCGTTATTTGTCACGAACACTGAAATTTGAACAGATTTGTAGATTTGATAATTTCGAAATTTTTTGCAGATTTGATAGAAGCAAAGAACACCGGCCTGATCAGCCTCCTTGATGAGGAACACAAACTGCCCAAGCCTTCACCTAGTCACTTCACCAGCATGTGTCACCAGCACCACGCCAGCCACTTCAGACTAGCCTTACCACGCAAGAGCAGACTTAAAGACCACAGGGAAATACGGGACGACGAGGGCTTCCTTATACGGCACTTTGCTGGCGCCGTGTGCTATCAAACGGTGAGCACTCAAGACGGTCCTTGATCGTTAAGATGGCCTTTGATCGTCAAGACGGTCCTTGATCGTCAAGACGGTCCTTGATCGTCAAGATGGTCTTTGATCGTCAAGACGGTCCTTGATCGTCAAGACGGTCCTAGATCGTCAAGATGGTCCTTGATCGTCAAGATGGTCCTTGATCGTCAAGACGGTCCTTGATCGTCGAAAATCGCTCGCAGAGTTTTACTTTGCATCTATATATGTTGGCAGAGTTCTCATTTCCCTCCATGTATGCTGGCAGAGCTCTCATTTCCCTCCATGTATACTGACAGAGTTCTCATTTCCCTCCATGTATGCTGGCAGAGTTCTCATTTCCCTCAATGTATGCTGGCAGAGTTCTCATTTTCCTCCATGTATACTGCCAGAGTTCTCATTTCCCTCCTTGTATGCTGGCAGAGCTTTAATATATCTTCGTATGTCTTCGCGTATTTAATATTTCCTCTGCTTTTACACCCACGAGTCCTGATTCCCTTGTGTATCTGCAGGCGGAGTTCCTGGCGAAGAATAACGACGCGCTGCACGCGTCCCTGGAGGGGCTGGCGCAGGAGGCAGGCAACCAGTTCATCAGAGGGCTCTTCATGTCGGGCGCCGCGCCCTCCTCTGCCCGTGGCAAGCTCACCTTCATCTCCATCGCTGCCAAGTTCAAGACGCAACTTCAGGAACTCATGGATAAACTCATGAGCACCGTGAGTGCCCTTTGTGTTGTGTTCGTTATTATTGTTGGTAATCATGACGCAACTTTAAGAACTCATGGATAAACTCATGAGCACCGTTAGTGCCCTTTGTGTTGTGTTCTTTATTGTTATTATTGTTATTAATGAAGACGCAGCTTCAGGAACTTATGGATAAACTCATGAGCACCCGCATTTTCTCATTATGGAAAAAATGCACTATTGTGCTCGCCATGTCCGTCTGCCTGTCTGTCCGTCCGTCCGTGACCTCAAGTTTTCGTCGACGAGAAAATGCGCTCTCTGTCACTCACTGCTGTGAGTACTGAGTTATATTTTTATTGTTATTATTGTTGGTAATCAAGACGCAGCTTCAGGAACTCATGGATAAACTCATGAGCACTGTGAGTGCTCTCTGTGTTGTGTTCGTTATTGTTGTTATTGTTTGTAATCAACGAAGAGACTCTTATGATTTCTGGTGCAAAACTTACAGGACACGTTACTTAATTAACTGTATAACTATTAACTATTAATATATTTGGAGGTAAGCAAAAAGTACGGTGTACATGAGCACCTTCGTGTTGCGTTGACGCTCCACATGAGCACTGTTCGTGCAACGAGCGTATTACATACGTGAACTTAAATGCATTTTCTTTACGCACCAAGTGCTTACATACCCGTCTTCTAACGTGTCGCATTATATCCTAGGTTTAGCATATATAAAATTTAAGCCAGTTAGCTGTAAAATATGACTTTGTCACTTCCGGCCAGTTAGTCATAAAATATTATTTTGGCCAATTAGCCTAAAAATGTGACTTTGTGCAGTTAGTCGGTAAATTATATTGCCGACTTGCTGGCCAGTTTATTTTATAAAATATGATTTTGCTGCATTGGGCCCATCGGTCGTAAAATACGACTTTACCCCATTTTGTCAGTTGTAAAATACGACTATATATGTACTATATTCGCAATTGCAGGGCACGAGCTTCGTGCGATGCATCAAGCCCAACGTGAAGATGGTGGACCACGAATTCGAGGGCGGACCAATCCTGTCGCAGCTGCAGTGCTCGGGCATGACCTCCGTGCTAGAGCTCATGCAGCAGGGATACCCTTCCAGGGCTCCGTTCCATGACCTTTACCACATGTACAAGCAGTTCCTCCCTGCCCAGCTCTCGAGGCTTGACCCGAGACTCTTCTGCAAGGTCTGCTCAGGCTTAAGGTCTAGTCTTGATGAGGCTGGTGTTCCGGGTTACTTATGATAACTTGGACTTTTTTGGGGAGATTTATAATATTAGTTGGTATGCAATGAGTCATGTGCCTTCATTGTTCACGTAGTAAATCTCGCAGTTTATTTAATAAATTTCACTGCTAATTTCTAAGTTTCTAAGGATTTGGTATTCAACCATTGATGACGGGTACTCGGATTAATTTGATCTAGATTATCTGAGTACTTTAATTAATTTGAACTAGATTATGAGTACTTGGATTAATTTGATCTGGATTGTTTGAGTACTTGGATTAATTTGAACCAGATTATCCGAGTACTCGAATTAAGTTGACCTACCGTATATTATCCAAATACCTTCAAAAGTTTGCGACCCTCTGAAGCCCCTCATTAATTTATCTTTTTATTTGGACAGGCTCTGTTTCGTGCGCTGGGTCTAGATGAGAAGGACTTCAAGTTCGGCTTAACGCGCGTGTTCTTCCGTCCCGGAAAGTATGCAGAATTCGATCAGATTATGCGCAGTGACCCTGAGAACCTGAAGCTCCTTGTTGACAAGGTGCGGCGCTGGCTGTTGCAGTCACGCTGGAAGAAAGCCATTTGGTGCGCTCTCTCTGTCATTAAACTCAAGTATAAAATCATCTACAGACGTGAAAACCTCATCGTCATCCAGAAGAACGTGCGCATGCTCAACGCCCGCAACAAATATCGCCCGCGCTACATGACCGCCCTCAGGATAAAGGGTCTTAAGGGTCAGGTTGAAGCCATGATGGCCATCACGCAGGAGCTGACCAAGGACCGCGACGCTAGTATTGCTGACGTCAAGAAGCTGCAGGTGGCCATTGACACTTCCATTAATCGCATCCGTACACAGTCTTTGTCCAAAACTGTACTGGAGAGAGAGTACAGTACGTTGGTTGCGTCCGCTGACTGTACCATGGCGGCTCTCAAGACCAAAGTGCAGATGCAGAAGAAGGCCGAGGAACAGGAAAGGCTACGTAAGATCCAAGAGCAAATGGACCTGGAGAGAAAGCGCAAGGAAGAGGAGATAAGAAAACAGAAAGAAGAGGAAGAAAACAAAAGAAAACGCGCTGAACTTGAAGCCCGCAGGAAAGCTGAAGAAGAGGCAGCGAGAAAACTCGAAGAAGAAGAACGTCTTCGAGCTGCCGAAAATGAGGTATGGTTTCAAGTGGCTTGAATTTGTTTTCAGTCTAAGATATCTAATTTTTTTATTAAAACACTTGATTCTCTGCACGATCGTGCCGAAATTGAGATATAAGCATCGTCCAGTTTTTTTTTTTTGTATTCTTGTAGATATTGTTCATGTGCACAATTCATGTGAAATGATGCCCGAGAACGAGAGAAAATCTCTAATTTAGCTACAGTTTGATTATAAGTGCAGTTTGTGATTATAAGTTTGCTTCCTGTTTTTCATCTATTTATAACTTACCAATTTCATAGCATGTTGCCAGATTAAAATGAATGAATTTTTCGCTGTATTACTATTTATCGTACAAAAATAGTTAAATGTATATATTTATTTTCATATCTAATTATTATATATTATATTATTTGATTGATAAATATAGAAACGATTCTACCTAATACATGTATATATAATTTCAACACAATATAAAATAGAACATTTCATAATTAATGATTATTTTATATTAAATAATATGATTGTTAATATATAATTATTAAGAAATAATTATTAATATAGAATTATTGATATATATTATTAAGAAATATTGTACGTGCAGGCGGCAGCAGCAGCGGCAGCTCGCGAGGCAGCAGCGGCGCGCGAGGCGGAGGAGCAGGAGCGGCGAGACCACGAGCTGGCGCTGCGTCTCGCTGCCGAGACACGCGGCGGCGTCGACGAGACAGAGACACCCATGCTTAAAAGGTGCTTTGTTGCGCGTCTCGTGGCATGTGAAGAGGTCTCGTGAGGTAGAGATGCTGGTCTTGTTGCGTCTCGTGCCATGTGAAGAGGTCTCGTGAGGTAGAGATGCTGGTCTTGTTGCAAGCTAGAGATGCTGATATTGTTGCGTCTCGTGGCCTGAGAAGAGGTCTCGTGAGCTAGAGATGCTGGTCTTGTTGTGTCTCGTGGCATGAGAAGAGGTCTCGTGAGCTAGAGATGCTGGTCTTGTTGTGTCTCGTGGCATGTGAAGAGGTCTCGTGAGCTAAAGATGCTGGTCTTGTTGCGTCTCGCGGCATGAGAAGAGGTCTCGAACTGGTGCTCGTTTCCTGCGATTTATTTTCTAACATTTTTTTTAATTTTAAGTTTCTCTATTAGATGTCGTCATTTTGTAATTTTTTTTAATTTAAAGTTTCTCTATTTCTCTATTAGATGTCTGCTCCAGTAATTTATTTAGAATCTGAATTGAAAGATTGCCGAAATTGTTCATCCTGGAGGTTTTATCGAGAATAGAAATAATGATTATTGTTGGTAGCGACACTGCAGCCGTAATTGGCCTGGTGCACGCTAGTTAAATATTGTGCACCCTAACTATATAGCTAGTTGTCTATTGTGCACCTTAACTAGCTAGTTGTCTATTGTGCACCCCAACTAGCTAGTTGCCCATTGTGCACCCTAACTAGCTAAGTATTTATGGCACATCTTCACTAGTTATCCATGGTTCAATCAAAATTCTTTTCCTAGTTGTTTAGTTCGATACAGACTTTCCTTATCTTGTCTATCCGCCATCACTGCGTTACTTATCAAGAATTTCAGCATCAACCCTTGATACTTTTAACATCCATATTTAATACATCCATAAAATACCACTTTTAGCATCAACATATATACATATGGGGATGTGAATTTTTTTTCGACATTTTAGAACCATGCGTTTGATGAAAAAAATAAATGTTATCTAACCGTGATATCCTCTATAGGTTGAATATCAATTATTGAAAGATTCACCCCTAGCAGTTTATTAGTGGTCGTTTTGCGGAAAATTTTCGCTAATTTATAGAAGTTTCTCCACTTACTATTTACTTAGAGACAGCCAATATTTAATTGCATTTTATTTAATTATCGATATAAGTATTAAAATCACATAAATTAGATTAAGCCCTTAAAATCACATTAAATCGCAAATTTACCAAGAATTTAAAAGCAAAGAAAATAGCCTAAAGTTCACCATTCAAGTTTCAACTGACGATGGAGCTGGACTCCGAAACGTTTTCTCCTATAAGAAATGGTGAACTTTTTGACTATTTTCTTTACTTTTAAATTCCTGGTTAATTATCGATTATTTAAAAATCTCTAAATTTCTGCAAGTTTCTCTTAGTTTAGTCAGTAAGGAGCAACCATGTTAGTCGACAAACCGCTTCAATGTTTTGCAGTTTTGCATTCTTTTAATTTTCGTACAGCTTAGTGACCGCCATCTTGCCGCACTTGCTTCCTCTCCCGCATTTTTTCTGTTACTAAATTGTAATTGTATTTTTTTCTTTCGCATTTCCTTTGCTGCTAAATTTTAAGTTTTTACCCGCATTTTCTTTGTTGCTAAATTCTAATTTTTATTTATTTTTCCCCGCATTTTCTTCGTTGCTAAATTTTAATTTTCGTTTCTCCACACCCTCCGGGTTTTCGTGCCGGTTTATCGTGCAGTTTTACCAACGGCCCAGCGGGTGTAGTGACGCCCGGCAAGAGTGCGAGGTATCTTGCATGCCGCTTGATCCTGCACCCAGACAAACTAATGTGTCTAGTTGTCCAAATAGTGACTCACTTTTCTTTTGCTCGTAGCATTTATAATCCTTTTTATATTATTAACTTGGATTTGGATAAACTAGCAAAAGTGCATCGCTATTTGCACTACGTCTCACCATTTTTTGTGTAAGGTTGTGTAACAATTTTTACGACACGAATCTCGTTTGAACGTAAACGTGAAATGCTCTTCATCCTTGAAAAAACGCACTAAAATTTTTTTACTTAAAAAAATGGTGTGACGATGGCATCTATGTAGTGCTACTATAGTGTCACTATTGTTGTGTGACTATGGCATTTGATGCCACTGTATTAAATTGTACTGTTGTGTATTATGGCATTTTAATGGGAAAGTATTCTTGTTGTATTGTATGTGAATGTAATTGTATTGGACTGTCGCATTATATTATTGTAGTTGCACCCCATGTGAAAAACTCAAGATTTTTTCAAACTTGATTTTTACGAGATTTTTTACAAGATTTTTTTACAATTACAATTTGAATTGTATGTGAATGCAATTGTACTTGGGTATTGCATTATATTATTGTAGCGGTACCCCACGTGAAAAACTCGAAATTTAGTTGGTGTTGTATTGAGAAGAGAAGCTCGGGAATTCCTTCGAAGGGGGAATTGAGTTTACCACTTTGTTGTAAATAATTTTTTTCGTGTTTAAAATGTGCCGTTTACGTTTCTATCGATTATCTGTACCTTTTACGCGTAGAGAATTGTTCTAATAATTGTGTGTAAAATGCAAAATTTGCCGGTTATTGAAAAATTCTCCTCAGAATTAGAAAAGTTTCTTTAAACGCGACAAACTTTTTGCTTTCGTCAAAACGAATTTCTCCAGACACGATCATGTTGTTTTGGAACGATTTTCTTTGTATGTTGGAAGATTTTTTGTCTGTGACAAGCTCACTAGTATATTACTTGAAATGTTAATTTAACTGACAATTGTGAAGGTTTAATAAAACACAACATAAATGAGTTGTGTTCGTGCGTCCTGCTGGTCGATTTTATGGACTGTTTGCCTCCGTGGGAGTTTTGGATACTGTATACATTCTGTGTATATTATGTATACAATGAATGTATTATATATTTGTTTTGGATATTATATACATCTTTTTCCAGGTGCCGAGTGAACTGATTTTAATTCTGAATTTCTTCACGTTTCTTCAGTGAACTGAACAGTTTTATTCAAGATTGTGAAGTCATGCAGTTATTAACTAATTAAATTATTTGTTAACTCGTTACTTTAAAGTGTGAGTTGCAAGTCCTCTATTTTTAATTGTTTTATTGTATTATTAATTTTACAGCGTATCAAGTGTGTGTTGTATTTAGTATTAATTCATTCAGTATCCAGCGTGTATGCATGATTGTATTTGAGTGCATACAGTCCCGTTGTGTTAGCAATATATTAACTATGATTTAAATATTATATTAACTCGTTACTTTAAAGTGTGAGTTGCAAGTCCTCTATTTTTGTATTGTATCATTGTATTAATTATTTTACAGCGTATTCAGTGTGTGTTTTATTTAGTAGGTATTGATTTATTCAGTAACCAGTGTGTACGCATGATTGCATTTGAGTGTATACATGTCCTATTGTGTTTACAATATATTAACAATGATTTAAATATTATAATAATTGTGCAGATGTGACTTCTGCCTCGTAATGTTCTTCGTTGATGTTTGTGTTTGTGTGCAAATACCTAATCTCGATTGAATATTGCGGAAATTGCTGTGGATCGTTGCCAGCAATCACCACCACTGTCACCACTACCGATCACTTATCACCACTCTCTGCCACTCACCACTCCCCACCACTCACCACTCCCCACCACTCCCCTCTCCCCACCACTCACCACTCCCCACCACTCACCACTCCCCACCACTCACCTCTCAACACTCCCCCCTGCGCAGGTCAGCAGCGGTGCAGCAGCAGCTGACGTCAGCAGCGAGTGCCAAGTATGACCTCAGCAAGTGGAAGTATGCTGACCTCCGCGACACCATCAACACCTCCTGTGACCTCGACCTGCTAGAGGTCTGCACTACTCATGCTTGCCACTTATTGCTGCCACTCTTTTCTCCCTGTAGGAGTATAGCCGTGTAAATATTTTTGAAGCACGTGTTCCACTTAACTAGAATTATTCCAATTGCTACGAGCTCATAATTGAGAGTAAATATAATAATTCAGAGGAATAACTATAATAAAAAAGTAATGTTGCAGGCCTTATACGAGCTCCTAATTAAGTATACATATAACAATAGAGACATGTATATAATAATAATAAATAATCGTAATATATCAGGCGTGCAGGGCAGAGTTCCACCGGCGCCTGAAGGTGTACCACGCCTGGAAGGCTAAGAACAAGAAGACCAGCAAAGACGAGAGCCAGCGAGCCCCGCACTCTGTGCTCCAGGCTGGTCTGTATTTAATTACCCCTGTATTATATGTGTTTCGTGTGTGTGGATTGTGTACTTCTCGTGTGTATTGTGTTATTGTGTTTGTGAATTGTGTGTGGATTGTGTTCTTTATGTGTGTGGATTGTGTTCTTTATGTGTGTGTATTGTTCTTTATGTGTGTGAATTGTGTTATTTATGTGTACGCATTGTGTTCTTTATGTGTGAGGATTGTGTTCTTTGTGTGTGAGATTCTTCCATGCTGCCCAATGTCCATTTACAGGCAGTAGTTTGATAGCAATATCTTCAATAATAATTATTTGGATGTAATTTGTAATTGGATGTAATTTGGATGTAATATCCTCCCCGAGATTTCCAATTGCCGATTTTGATCAAATTCAGTAGAATTCGGAAGATCTGTTTAAATATCAGATATTATCAGCTGAATACGTGTGTGAATGTAGGTATAACATGTGTGAGCTGTCTGATGTGTGGTTGGATGTTTGAATGTATAATAGATGTCTGAGCAATATTATATAATTTTATTTTATATTGTGTATATTAAGTAAAGAAATCTGCACAATATTATTATACCGTGTATATTAAGTGTATGTTATTCATGCTTATAGCACACTCTTGCTATTCATGAATGTGCTACTCCAACTTTCTGCATTTGATCAAATTCAGAAGAATTCAGAAGATCTGTTTGAATATCAGATATTATCAGCTGAATACGTGTGTGAATGTAGGTATAACATGTGTGAGCTGTCTGATGTGTGGTGGGATGTTTGAATGTATAGCAGATGTGTGAGCAATATTATATAATTATATTGTATATATTAAGTAAAGAAATTTGCACAATATTATTATACCGTGTATATTAAGTGTATATTATTCATGCTTATAGCACATTCTTGCTATTCATGAATGTGTTAGTTTTGTGTTACTCCAACTTTCTGCAATAAATGTAATCTGAATAAAGTACTGCCTGGAAGAAGTAACTAATAATGTATACTCTGACCAATATTTATTAGTATGGATATTATCCCTAATTATTTCATTGGTTAATCATAATAAGCGTATTTGTTATCTGCTTCATGACATTTCTGGCGACTTTTTATCGTATTTTTTTCTTCCCCAGCTAGTATTTAATTCTTTATATTTAAAATATGTAAATGCTACAACCAGAAAAATGAGTGAGACTTTGTCCAAACATCGAAACACTTCTTACCGTTGTGTGGGTCATCCTGACCCAGTTTTGGTTTGCATTAAAGAGGCATATCAATGTCACATGCAGGAAGTGTTTCTCTATTTAGACAATCTGACCCATTTATGGACAATATTAACCATTAATGGATGGACAATATTACCCATTTATGGACAATCTGACCCATTTATGGACAATCTGACCCATTTATGGACAATCTGATCCATTTATTACCAATATTACCCATTTATGGACAATTTGGCCCATATATTTATATATGAGTGTAGGCTGGTGCTGTACAGCGCTAATGCTTGTGTCGTGTTTGCTCTCCCCTGAAGCGCCCTCCGCGGCCCCGATGAGTCCGGTTGAACTAGCGAATTTCTCGCTAAAAGGTGACATTACTGCGTTCATTTGTAGCCCTCACAAGCCCTCCAAACCCTCACAACCCTTGTGATGTGCATGACTAACGCATCTCACAGCCCTCACAAGCCCTCACAAGCCCTCACAACCCTCTCGTTATGTTTATAACCTCAGTTTAAATTATCGCATAAAGTTTTCCCTCATGAGGGCATCGCTTCTGTCAACTCCCCCAACAATATTGCTATTATTTTTCTTCATTGATGCATCTTCATGTTTTTAAATGTCTGACCAGCACGTCTAATCTAACTTCATAAATTTCTAATCCCAGCTCTCTTTGTAAAATTTTGGCAGTAATTCTTAGTGATGTCATTACTTGATTTGTTTGATGGATATCTCGTGCTTTTTGTCATTATTGCAGATTGTATTAAAATTTATGCACTTTTGTAATTAATTTATTGACGTATTGACTCTTTTTATCAATATAATTAATGCACGCGTCTTAAATTGTGTCCAGGAGTTGGCGGTTGTTCGATGTGGACATGTAATTTGATCCCTTTAAGTTTTATTTAAGTAGTAATAGTTCCTTGATCTCACAAAAGCTATTAAAAGTTGTTCTCCTCACCTTAACTTTAATTAGTAATTGACATTAATTGTTCTACAGCGCAATCCAGTGTCTTGATGCCCTTTCTTCTCTTGTATTGCAGGAATTCTATATAACATATTAAATGTATTTTGCCATCCTGATTCGACTGATAAATCCATATTTTTACCATTTTATAATCCTGCTTTACTTTCTGTAACATCAGCAGCTTTAATTTCAACCCTAAATGCCCCTTACGCAATAATTTCTTTATGAAAGTAAGTTCTGCGGCGGTGAAAAATTTGTGTTATTTCTGTTTAACTTTTAACACTAATTTTAATAACCAGGAAGTATTTGCGCGATTTTTTAGCATTAATATTTAGTTGTACGGTGGAGGGAAGAAGCAGGGTCGTATAGGCCTATGGAGGAGAGAAGTAGGGTCGTATAGGCCTGGGGAGAGAGAAGTAGGGTCGTATAGGCCTGGGGAGAGAGAAGCAGGGTCGTATAGGCCTGGGGAGGAGAGAAGCAGGGTCGTATAGGCCTGGGGAG